AACTTGAAAATTTATATGTTATTTAATACTATATTAACATTAAATTATTAAAACTTGTTAAATAATCTGATTTTTTGAATAAAATATTTTTAAAAAAAATTCTCAAAATTTCAAAGTAAACGCGTTTTTCATTTTTATGTTTTCGGAAACTATTTTTCAGAATAACAGAAAGAACACATTTTTCAGAAATTTCAAAACAGACACTCAAAACACAAAATACAAAACTGAAATACGAAGAGAACGGTCCCTTATCTTCCCAACACCAACACACTCCCCAGTCCTACTTACCTCCGTCGCCACCACAGCGAGGGGGAGAAATTTTCCCCTAGTTTGGGTCAAAACAAAAAGAATTTACAAAAATGAAATTGAAAATCGCACCTCGATTTTCACAACAACCAAGGTCTAGGGGAGAAATCCCAACTATTGGTGGCAGTAGCGGTGGTCATGGGGATCGATGTCAGTGTTGAGAAAATTAAAGAATTATCTTTTTGTTTTTGAATTACGTTCCTTGTCCTTTTTAGACGTGCACAACACATGTCAATATAATGCACATTTATATGTTTATCGTTCATAGTTCTTTGTGCTACATATTTTTACAGAAGTAATGATGTTAAAAATAAGGATTAGTCTAGACGTACATAACATCATCATAATTCCTTACACCTGCTGAGCTGGTGTCTTTGCAGTCAAAATATCAAAAATGTAATTGTATCAAAATATCAGCAAAATCTTGCGAGAAATTAATTTTAAAAACAAAGACTCATACCCCCCCCCAATAAGTCCTGAATCTCGCTTGCATAACATTTGCTCTAACCCTTCTCTCAAACAAAATCGATCTCTCGCCGGAGCCCATCTCTCTAACCAAATTGATCCCTCGTCGGAGCCCATCACTTCCCGCCACTATGAAGAACTATAAGCCCTTCTCTCTCGTAAACGTCAAGCGCTTCGTTCCACTGCGAAGAACCAGAAGAAATCAAGGTTAGTATACCTCATTGAAGAATCTCCTTTCTGCCAACACATGAACATGGACATCAGGCTTACGGTTGTTGGCTGTTCATTCTAATTCATTCGAATTGCTTATTTCTTGTAATTGCTTTGTCAACAACTGGGTTTTAATTGTTTTCGATGTTTTTGGTCCAAAAAAAATTGTAAAATACCTATAAAATAAATTTGTGAAATGTAATAGGTGAAGAACTATCTTGCCATTCAAATATGAGGTAGGTTAATTTTGTATCTTATGTTAATTGGTCTTCTCTTTATCACTGCATTTTGGTATTTCTGAACAAATTTTTTTTATGCTGATTTAGTTAATTTTCTGGTTGCGTTAGTTTCGTTCGATGACAGGCAATAATAGAGGATTCCATATTGAAGGCGACTCGAGTGATGTTTAGAAGCCTAAAGATTGTTTTGATTATTTGTCGCACATGTCCAAAGAATTGACTAAAGTGTCTACCGATGAGGACAAGTTAGAGATTTCCATGAACATAACTATTTTCAAGGGGAAATGAGTTTCGGAAGGCAACGATGAGGGAAAGAAAAACTAGCATGTAATGTTAAGTGGATGACGATGTGCAACGTAGTTGTGTGTGTGATGTAATTGTTTAGGTGGATGGTTATATACAATGTAATTGTTTAGGTGGAAGGTTAGGCTTGTAATTGTTCTTGATGTAAACTGGTTTGCTTAAATGAGAATCTGCTTTAGCATAGATAATATTGGTTGCAAAGTTGTAAAATGAGAATCTGTTTCTTGATGTAAAGAAATGTTGTAATTAGCAAGAAAGAGAAGCCAAAAGACTAGAGATATTCAGAATTCTATAGGAAAAAAATGGCAGAACAATTTTATCTTCCCAGCCGAAACACCGTGCTAAAAAACAGCATAATCATCCCCAGCCCCAGCCCCCAAAATGATCTGAACAACATACACAGGACATCATCTACAGCCTCCAAAATCAAAAATACATTCTGAATATGAACAACATACACAGGACATCATCTACAGTCCCCAAAATAAAAAATACATTCCGATTACACATCAGACCCTAAAACCCAAAAAAGAGCCCGATTACACAACAGCATCTTCAGCCCCCAAAAAACAAAAGAAATTTTGTAGCTTATTATTTGTTGACATCACAACACCTCAAAGCTACCCTGTGTCCTAGTATCTTCAACATTGAACGTGGATGAAACTCATTTCTTATGCCTTTTAGACATCTTTGCATTTGTTAGGTTGGTGGGCACTTGCACGACATGGAACAAAAATTTATATTTCACTATAAGCTAAAAGTATGTTAAGCAGATTGAATAAGTTTTATACCTTGCAAGAACTTTTTGATTTGCTCGAACTATTTTCTAGGTGGCCTTTTCTACGAAGCTTTCTAGGGGCTCCTTTACGTTTCGTGTACTTCGGATCCAATATGCTTCCGCTAGCACATGCTACGGAGTCAACGCATTGAGAGTCCACATTAATAGACTTCGACTGAGATGCCTCTGTTGTTTCGAACACGATCAAATCCATAATTCTCCTACATTGTTGTTCGTCATGTGCTATCACATAGGCTAACCTGGTAAATGCACTGCATAGTTGCTCATATCTAACCTGGTCGGCGCTACTAATAAAATCGTCATAATTGATTGGAGCCCTCGTGTAAGGTCGGTTCACATCTCGTCTCCATCTCTTCAATATATATTTCTTCGGGATTAACGCCACATCATTATGGATTAAAACTGTGATTGCATGCTTGCAAATAATTCCTCTAAACTTAAATAAGTGGCAACTACATTCAAATTCACATTTATCCCTACGAAAGGAAACTGTAAATATTTGTTTCTTCATACCTTCATTGGTAATGATATCCTCACGAACCTCGTAAGTGGGATCAAAATATGATTTTGTTGCACTCAAGATCTCACAATACACATTTCCTGTAATCTCTTGTTGGAACTCTTTGAACTTAGAGATCGTGTACAAGGACTGAAACTGCTTCTCTATATCATACATTGTTGCATAAGGGACCATCTGCGAAAATGATTTGAAATTAGCATGAAACTCCTTTTCAACTTTACTTCTCAATGCTCGCTCATATTGCTCTACAAATTGTTTCAGGGAAGTTTTTGAATGAATATATTCATAAAAAAAAACATTTATGCTCTCACTTCGTTGAGTGGTTGACATACCAACCCAAAATGATTTTTTCAAATAATATGGCACCCAACGACTTATCTCATTGTAAAGTCCATTCAACCAACCATGGTCCTGCAATTCATATCATGCAAGCATTGTATGCCATTTTTCCTCAAACTCTTCAAAACTTTGTGTATCATACACCAACCCGTGTACAACAGACATAATAGAATCTT